TGACTCTGAAAATTCTCAGAGATTAATATTGAGGGCCAAAGCTGTTGTCTGAAATTTGTTTAGCCAAAAGGAGAATTATTTCTTCTGTATGAATATCCTTCTTTTGCTTTAAATTCAGTTTGCCTTAATTTGACTGATGAAAAATCAAGTAAGTCATATGGTTCAATTAAAAGCAGCCAGACATGTTGGGCTTTTTCCTGTGCATATGTAGCCCAGAAACAAAGAGAATAATATAATAATGGCCAAAGCATTTGTTTGTATTCAACAGAAGAATAATGCATAAGACTAAAGCAATCTTGAGCTAAGCCACTCTGAGGACGCAAACCAGCAGAAAGTTAAATTAGCTCCCCTAGGAACTAACTTCAAATATATTGTGATTTCAGGATGCTTTCAAAAATCAATAGAGCTCTTGAAGTACTTTGTATACAACCAAGAACTGGCTGCAAAGCAGCTGAATCAGTTTAAGGGTGGTTTGTCCTACCCTGGGAATAGCTAAAAGGAGCACCAGCACCATTTGGTGGTACAGTGACACCCTGCCCTCCCCAGCACTCAGCTCCCACCAGGCTGGGCAATCCCACTCTCCTCAGAACACTTCTAATCAGCACATAGCTCTGAACTCTGGAAACATAGCTCTAAACACGTGGAAAAATGCCCTAAACCAGCCAGGGGCAGTCCCTGCTGCTCTGGCAGGACAATGTTTTGTAGTTTGCCCAGCTTGATTCAGCTTTCTGCTCCTTTCTTCCCCAGAGCCCACGGGAGAGTGGTGTTTTCACAGAATCACAGGCTGGTTTGGGTTGAAAGGCACCTTAAATGCCACCCAGTGCCACCCCTGCCAAGGCAGGGACACCTTCCCCTGTCCCAGGTGCTCCCAGCCCTGTCCAGCCTGGCCTTGGGCACTGCCAGGGATCCAGGGGCAGCCCCAGCTGCTCTGGGCACCCTGTGCCAGGGCCTGCCCACCCTGAGTAAAGAATTTCTAATATCTAACCTTCTCTCTTACAGCTCAAAGCCGTTTTCTTCTCACTTACATAAATACAGAGCAAAGCATAATCTTTTTTTCCCCTTTTATTAGGCAGACCAACTCCCATCCCTGAATGTCAGCCCTGGGCATACACACACTGCCATTACACCTGTAATTAAAAACCCTCCTGCAGCACATGTGGCCCAGGGCTGAGGCCTTGGGGACCCCTGTGCACCCAGCCCTGCACAGCTGAACACAGACCCTGCATGCCCATCCCACCCAGGGATTTGGATTTTTCCAGGAGCTGGAAACAGGAAGCCACAATTTTGATTTCTTACAGAGCCCAGAGATGATTTAGCTCAGGAACGGCAGGGTGGCTTTGGTAAATGTGCCTCAAAGGTGATTCCTGACATTTGCAGATCACTGACTGGCTTATTTAGAGTGACAATCAGAGAAGCAAGTGTGGCAATGAGGCACTGAAGGGCCCTGCAGATGAAACAGCAGCAGGTGTGGGTGTGAGAGCTCAGCCAGAGCCACTGGGGCTGCTGCACTGCTCTGCTCTGCCTCCTTCCCAGTTTGGATCCTCAGGTGCCAGGAGATTCTCCCAGGATGAGCAGCTGTGCTGGCAAGCTGACAAGAGGGCCTGGCAAGTTATAAATTTACCAGTCCAAGTTCAGAGAGTTTGCAGCAGATTTGGAGAAACTCTTTGCTAAATAGAGCAGATGAAATATCATGGTAAAATTTGTCTTATTTCCTTTTACCCAAGGAAATCCCCAATTCATCAGCAGGGGCAGACACACACATTTGTGACACCACAAATTTCCACCTGAACTTTTGTCACCTGCGATGTGAGAGTTCAGACCCTTAGGTCTGCCCAGCAATCCCTATAATGGAGAAGCTTTTCCACATGAAGAAACTGCCACTGGGAAGCTACAGAGCAGGAACTGACTGTGCTCCCAGCAGAGAGAGGTCAGCACCACCTTCCCACAGCACTGGGGTCCTGCTCATTGCAGTGTTCACAATAAGCTGACAAGGAGATGAACAGTGAAACATGAAGTTCCTGTGACATCATCACCCAGGGAAGTGCAGAACATTGGCTACAAAGAGCCACAGGACTTCATTTTATTCAGCAAGGGGGTGAGAGCTCCAAAAATGTCTGATTGCAGTGACTGACAAAGAGAGGCACTGGGAAAACGTGATCCCAATTCTGCTTTCATGAGGAGGAGCTGCTGCTACCCACAAATGGCATCTTGGCACTGTAGCAGCTGTAAGAAGGGTTTGCTTGATATACAGCAGTTAGTAAGAAAAGGCAAATTCAATGCTGGGGATTATTAAGAAAATAATAAAACATAATTATGCCAGAGCATGAATGAACGGAAGATGCAGTTTTTCATTCCATGTCACATTCCCAGAGGGAAACAAGTATGGAAGCAGGAGTTCACTTTATGGATGTCTCTCCCCTGCGTATCTGTAACTATGGCACTCTCTGAAGCAGATCAGAGCCATAACTGGCAAGCACATTTCCCTTGAATATGTATTCAGAAGTTGTAACTGAGGGAACAAACAGGATAATGAGATTATTTCCAAAACAAGTGGATAATCACCAGGTATGACGCATCTCGGCATTTTAAGGGAAATGATTATTTTACAGCTTGGATGGAATTCTGCCTCAGATCCATTCCAACAGACATCCAGAGTGTGTACCTGAAACAACTGAGGCTGTCTAAGCAGCTGGGAACAGCAGGGGCCTGCTCAATAAAGACTTAATACAGAATTAAGAAAAAGAACCAAGCAGGCCTGTTTTCCTTCTGCTCTTGCACAGGTAGGACTGGTCCTGTCTGCCAAGTTCTACTTCCAGCTCCTTCCACGACATGGGTTCAAGCACCAGCAGCCCACAGTCAGTAACTGAGACCCCAAACCCAAAATGTGGGAGCACTCCATTTACTCATGGGAGGTACCTGCTGGAAAAGTCTTTTGTTTCACCTTGACCACTCAGGGAATTTGAGTCAGAATAGGTAAATCCTTACATTTCAAGCCCTGACCTGTTTCAAACTGTTCAGCCACTTCTGCCACAGGAGCAGGCAGCTGCAGAGCTAAGAGGTGAGTTCACAGTCCATCAGCTCTCCCACGGTGACTGTGTAGAGGCATTTGGGGTGTTTGCTGGCAGTGCAATTCACTCCATGGTCACTGGATGCTCCCACAGGACAGCAGTGTGACCCTTAGCTCAGGGATCACCTCAGAGCCTTCAAACCCCCACCTATCCCATAATAGAGCAGGAGCTCTCGTCCTGGTAATGCACCTCGTGCACAAGGCAGCACCTCCCAACCTCCCTGAGATATTAATTCATGAACTGATCTCTGCACAAAACCATCCAGGTCGCTGATAAATGGTCAATGGTGCAAACCATGAGTAACAACAAATAAATTGTTAGCAGTGTAGACACTGCTAACAGAGTCCTGTGCTGACCCAGGTCATCACTGAAACTGGAACAGTTTCTCATAAGGAACCCTAATTGAAAAACAATACTAATGAGGCAATAAGTGCCATTACTAAATCCATTCTGTTGTCATCATTAGGCAAGTCAACATTCCTGTTCTGTGCTAATTAGGTCAGATAGCAGAAGCTCAGAAAGATGAACATTAACCAAGTGCAGCTGGAGCATTCCAGAGACAGCCAGAAGGGATTTCTAAGTCCTCATTACATATGGCATTTTTGAGTCCCCTTAACAAGTCATTCCAGTTAGATCAAGATACATTGGTTTAATCCTTTCCATCACTCTCTCTAGCAAAGCACAAAGCACTTCATCAAGTTTTCAACTGAGGCCAAATCACCAAGTTTGCCCTGTTTTGCTCATGCAGTAATGCTGATTTTCTGCCCTTCCTGATAGACAGGGCACAACCTCCCCTCACAGGTGTCTCTGGTCTCCATTCAAAGCCATTCTATTTCAGTGCTACAAGGGTGAAATTTAGATTCTCCAGCCTTTTTCTTTTAACAGGTACTAGGGACATTAAAGTATCTTGCTGGGCCAGTATCACACAGACTTGTGCTTTTACAAAGTAAATTCCCGTGGCTTGTAACTACTGGAATGACACCTGCCAGAATAAATCCACACCTGGTTCATGCCTGCCATGATTACCCATACCTGAAGTTTGTAAGCTACCAAAAATATCCCTGTTTATCCCAGATGAAATCCAGGATGGTTGCTGTCAACTGACCATAAAGGTCCACACTGAGCTGAACTAAGTGCCCTCTGGACACCTTGTGCATGTCAAGGCATCACCCAAAAATAAAAAACTAAACAAAACCAAAATTCTTTGTTTTCTCTCTGCTGGAGCTGGGTTGATGACAGGAGTCAAATTCAAGTGGTTGTTTTTTATTCCATAGTTCTACAGAATACTCCTTTCACTAGGGTTGTCACAGTGTACATGAGAAACATTTTTCAGTCACTCAAAACATGCCCTTTGTAGTTCTTGGGGGTTTTGTTTGGTTTTTGTAATTTTTAGAAAGTAAAGTCATATCAGGGACAAATTAAAAGGGATGAGTTTGGCTGATCACATTCTTATCAAATGACAGGAATAAAAAAATTTCAAAGCATTAATCTGTAAACATTTCCCCAACAACTGCAGGAAGGAGATGCAGCTGAAGAAGAGTTGGGTACTTATTTGGTTAGACCCCCAACCCCATCATTTGTACCAAAAACCATCTTTACCATGTATCAACAACTGTCAACCATTAGTCAGCATGCTGAATTCAAATATTTCAACTTCTCAAATAAAGAAATGAAATTAATCTAAAAATATTTTAATGTAGCAAGCTTGGCTATAGAACCAGTGCAACATAAAGAGGACACCCATTGTATAACCAACTTCACTGCTTAACAGAGTAAGCTACAGATGCAACAGATTCACCACAAGTTATTTGGTTAAATTAAATACTGAAGTTAGAATCATGCTGTTGGTAATTCTGGTTTTACAGTACCAATGCTCAAGTTGGCTGAGTTAGTTTGACTGTAAGTAAAATGCAAGTTCACAGAGAAACAAAATAATTTAGTATAGTATCCTGTATTCTGTTCCATGCTCAGTCACAATGATAATGTCTTCAACAGATAAACAACATTTCAGCATTATGGAAATAATGCCAAAACATACAGGAATTGTAATGCCAGATTTACAACATAATACAGTGCTTAACAAACAGTTTCCTCAGGCACGGGGGCAGTGGTGACAATGCTCAACAGGACCAGAAGCATCCAAGCCCTACTCAGTGCATACACAGTGGACCACACTGACAGGAATGCTTTACCTTCTGATGGAATTGTCACTCTAGGAGGTTGTGTCCCAAACATAATGCAATGGAAAAGGAATGTTAAACCCTTGCCTCAGACATGAAGCAAAAGCACTACATGTTATTTACAAACCTGAACCAGTAAAACCACTTTAAGACCAGAGAAAAACTGTGACCACTTGACAGAGATGGCAGAGCTTGGTTACTGTACTGTGTGAATCAGGATGGTAATGAAGTTGTAAACAAATTTAACCAAATTAGGTTAATGCATCTATTCTTAAGAATATTGCCATTTCAGCAGACAGTGATTTTTAAAGCTAAAGACACTCTCAGAGGTTTTATTTTTGTTTAAAGCCAAAACTTTAAAAACCTGGAAGATGGCGAAATTTTTTGTTCCTTATTAGCCTTCATTAACTTCTCCACAGCACACTTCAACAAAATTTTCAAACCCCCTGATTTTAATCTAATTCTGCTCCAACGTAATTAGCTGGTAGCAAAGTTGAAGCAGACACTACCAACACCTGGAAATCCCTTTAAGAGAGGCTTGGTTTACACCACTGGGGATGAGTTCAGATTGCTGGCATTATTCTACGCTGAACACAAAACACTGAAGCATTAGGTCTTACTTGGAATAGAAACACTTCCTCAAAATTAAACAGGCTTTGCAAATATGCAAAGAAAGAGACAGGAAAATCATATTTGAATCTCTCAATCCCAGCAGTGTCAAACTCATTCTTCCTCCCCACCCTCCAACCAAATCACATTGCCAAAGTGGCTGGTGAGACACTGATGGAATTAAATCCTCTGACATAAAGCCTGGATACAAAACAAAAACAAACTTTGTCCCTGCCGCATCTATTTTTTCTTTTTTTTCTTGCATTTTGTAATGAACCCATACAAGCATGAAAGGAGTTGTGTTGGTATTTTGTCTTGTTTTTTAAAACAGGCATAAGAGTTTTCCCAGACAAAACTGAACAAACTTTTATTTCATTTCAGAAAGATTTCTTTTATATTACCAACCTATTTCTCTTCATAACTAAAGGTGATAAAAAATAAATCCATAGTAATGAAAAAACCCCAAACCCTGTAATAAAACTGCTTTTTCAAGTATGTTTCTCCCCTCATGAAAGAGCTGCATTAGCCATACTGCTGATTAAAACCCACATCACAAGAGCAGACTTAGCCCCTAGGCTCAGATTCCCTGGAGCTGGGCTCAGCTGGATCTGCAGGACACAAAACTGGAGGCAGGAGGCAGATGGGCACAAGCACAACTGATATCACTCCTGAAATCCCTGATTCTGACTACACCCACTGCCACAGCTCCATCACATCCCCCAGCAGGAGAAATGGCACAGGAGCCACAGTGATGCTGGACAGGTACCGTCGCTCAGGCCAGAGCAAATCTTGTGCTGATGGAGATGCACTCTGCAGAGTTACCAGACTGGAGAGTTTTGCCCACAATGTTTTTACAGAGCACAATATAAACCAGATCCTGATATTCTGTTCAGTCTGGAATTCTCATCTTCATCTATTGCAATTATGGAATCATAGACTCACAGAATAGTCTGAGCTGGAAGGGACAAGGATCACCCAGTCCAACTCTTGAGGCCAATGAAATATCAGTGAGGGGGATTCTACAAGAGTTGGTCCCTGCATTAAACACTTAATACACGTGAAAAATAACTGGGGACAATCTTCCAAGTCACTATTAGTGATGGTGATAGGTTCAACTTTCCTTTCTCCCTCCTTATTTTCACTTCCTATTAATGCAAGAGAAAAGTGCAACTTTGCAGCATGTTTGTTCACATCAAGTTTTTCCTCAAGAACACATTTTGCAGTAACAAAATATGGTCTATAAAGTCGCAAAGTGCACAAGCTGAAGGCACAGAGTACAAACACATAGGAAAACAGATTTCAAAATACCAAGTAACAAAATAAGAGATAAAAGAAAATTCTGAAATTCAAAACTCCCTGACAGAAGATACATTTATATGGGACCAACTCTTGAAAGGTGACAGGTTTTCAACTAACAAACAAATACTGCAAAATAATGAAACTTTATTCTTATCATTTAAGTAGAAGCTCCAGAAAATAACTTGAAGTTTAAAATCTAATACATTGACATGTTAACTAGTTTTAAGAATGTCCTTAATATTAAGAAAAGAGTGCAAAAAGGATTCTTCCATTCTAATGCTTTTGGAAGCTGCTGATTTTGGCTGCCCATTCCCACTTTGAAAGGATTGTTTTTCAAGGTGCATTCCTCACAAAGGTCACAGAAGAAGAGTTTGCTGATAGACCAGACCAAGGAATTTGTCTTTCAAAGTCTTTCCAACTGTAGCAGCAACTGACATTTCAATACATAAAGAAGAAAGTCCAAAATTCTTCTTTGAGGCATACTTTGTGTCAGAGCTTGAGCATCAGCAGTTGCCAAAGGAGGCTCCAGATACCACCTGTGCTCCTCCAGTGTCTGTTCTGGCTAGGAATAGAAGCTGATCCAGTATATTCACTATCTGTATCCCCTGGAGCTTGCACAAGCTGATGAGCCATCTGAAATTATAGAAAAAGTTAAGAAATTCTCTCACGTTAAACTTCCACATTACATCCCCCAAAACACAGCAGTGTCTGCAAAACATTCACGCAGAAATGTCCACTCAGTCATTTCAGCCTACAATAAGAGTTCATCACCTCATGGCAGGGAATAAAGTGAACATACTCAGCTGAAAGCACTTGAGGAAACTTGCTGGTAAGAGGGCCATAAAATGAGCAGAAGTTAACAATGGTACCAGAACAGACACCACTCCCCAAGGGCTCCACGTCCAAGCAGTTTGTATTATTTATTGGAAGGGAAAGGTTCCATTGCAGACAGCTGTTGCATGTGGAGATGCAGCCTCTGACACCTTCCCACCCTGAGAACCCAGAAGTGCAGCAGGACCTGTCTGGCCAAGCTGGGAGGGCAGGGCTGGATCTGTACTTACTGTAAGTTAACTCTTCTCCAGCTCTCTTGCGTGACTGGTCACCTCTGTGGGAGAAAGCAAAGAAAGGTGTTCTCAGGATAACCTCAACTAAAGGTGTCCCTGCTCCTCGGGCCCTTCAAAGGTCCCCACCAACCCCAAGCATCCTGTGATCTTCAGTAACAGTGAAACACCCTAGCACAATCAGCAGCTTCTAGAGATTTTTAAAAAATGCAAACATAGTAATACTACTACTCAATTTACTGAAAGTATAAGCTATATTTCACAGATTTAATCAGTTCATCCTTTTGCTATAGACAGTAGGCTCCATCTCATAGGATAATTTTTTACAAAATGAAGATGAGGAAAAAATGTTCATGTGCAGTTGGAGCTGAAAACATGCATAAAATTGTTTTCCTCACTTTGAGCTCCTCAGCCAAACTTTATAGAAATATGTGAAAAAATTCTACATCTGTCAGTCTGAAAAGATGCTCCTGAATCTTACAGACTCTAAGCAAGTCTGAGCTGACAACACTTGCTCTTTAAGAAGATTTTAGCAATTAATGGTGTTGATAAGCTGTTGCTCTTCAACTAGAAGCTGATGTGCAATTACTGCTGCTGAATACACCTCACTGTGCTGTGTTCCTCATGATTATTGCTTTCAATCTTACTAATGCTGTAGGTGGCTGATAATAGTTCTGCTTGCAAGTGCATTTCACCAGTTTCATACTGCTTAGAGAACTAAACGTGACATTTCAAGTACTAACAGTCTGTATGCACAAAACCAACTGGTTTTTTGAAATGCATTTTGCCTTGCAATGGTCAGTGTCCCTTAGTGCCCTTCCCAGACTTTCCTGCAGTCTCTCATCCTTACAGAACCAGCCAAACTCCAAACTTCACAGCCAAGTCTCTCATTTTCAGGTAACTGAAGAAAAACATTTTTCAAACCAGTTGGTTTTGTGGATACAGACTGTTAGTACTTGAAATGTCACGTTTAGTTCTCTAAGCAGTATGAAACTGGTGAAATGCACTTGCAAGCAGAACTATTATCAGCCACCTACAGCATTAGTAAGATTGAAAGTTTGACAACACAAAATTGTTCCCTTTTCTCTTGTTCTGTACATTACATTCTTTTGTCAGCATTACATGCCTACTCAGTTACAGAGTCTCACACTTCTATTTCTTGGGCCAAATGCACTGCTTTTCTCAGCCCAGGGTCTGATGGTTTTATTTTTATGCTTATCTCTCAAAAAATTCTTTTCTTCAACAGCCAGCCTTTACAAGGAAAGAGTCTGCACCACATCATTTGCATTTGGGTCAATGGTACAGCTCTGCAGGTCAATAATTTACCAAGCTGTGAAGAGAGAGATGGGGAAAACCTTGGGGTATGAAATCCAGAAATACACCCAGCACTAAACATAGCCACATCTAGTAGATGTTCAAACTACAGGGCCAGACTCTCAGCATTGCACAGGTAACAGGAAAAATAAAGACATTTTCTCTTTATGAAGAAATGAACCTCTTGGGAGTAGAGCACAAGGCTTCCCCAGCCTGATCTCATATTGTGAGAGTACTGCAGAAATGGTGAAAAGTGCTGTGCCTTTGTCTGGGCAGAAAAATAGAAGAGCACAGAGCAACAGGCACTGCCCAGAGGGAACAATTTACAGTATGAACATTTTCTGCTGTGTCTTTTACTGTTTGTTCCTCCCCTTTCCCCTCTCCCCAATTCAATGTTCAGATGGGAAATGTCTATTTAAAATAAACACCTTGCCTGTATAAATAACTCTGAAAGTGAAGTAAGGAGAAAACTGACATTTCCAGAAGCACCATGAATAAAAGAGAGCTTATAGAAAATAAACAGCCAAAGTAAAGGTTGAAGTTGAACAGAACCATCATCATGCAGCAGAAGTACAACCAAAACCCAGGGATGCATGAACTGCAAGCAACCTGATCAAAAAATGTCAAGCCTTACAATCACCTACTTATTAGGTACCATCTGCAGGGCTGTTAGTGCTCAGAAGACATTGAAAATAAGGCCATATTTCACATACTGAATTGTGAAGGTTCTGCAGTAGCTCTTAAATTATTTCTTCAGTATTTTTAGGTATATCAATTTTTATCATTTGAGCACTGTCCTGCACAATCACTACTAAAGATTAACAATTATTACCTAGCAAATCCATTCTGAATAAGCTCTCTTTGAAGTTTCTGGTCTTGAGCAGCATATTCCTGAAGCTCAGATTCCACAGCAGGGGGTAGAATATTTGGGATGAATTTAGAAAATAAAGCTGGTGCCATCTGTACCCATTCTGTAAGAAGAGAGAAAGCAATAACAAAATACACGGAAGAGATATTTTGTGACATTTTTACTCTTTGACAAATGTAACTTTATTTTGAATACATATTAGGATCCTGAATTTAATAAAAGGAAAAAGAAATACCTCCAAATCCACAGAAACCATGCCTTAAAGCAGAACAAATAATGAGACTGTTGAAATCAGATGTTTACATGTAGATAGAACAATTACTATTTTTCTCAACCTCATCATTAAACTGAAATTCAGTTCTTGTTGCATCTCACAGGACCTGCTGAGTCTCTGGACACTCCTAAGGACTTGCAACTGATGATCAGCAAACTCACTTGGATAATTAGATAATGATTGTAACGCTGTACTCCAGGAAATCTATCCCCAAAATGCACCCTTCTCTCTCCTGAGCCTTATTTCTAAAAAGCACAGTAGTTTCATACAAACCTACTCCTCCATCCCCATTTCAAAGGAATTAATGCATTCCTCTCACTGATCTTGCAAAGCTTAGACAAACACTTTTTAATCTTCATAATATATGTCTAACCTGTACTAGTTCAGCTTCAGGACAGAAAGGTGATTTAATTTCACTACACTGAACACTGTTTTATAGGAGCAAGACAATTTACCTTGAAGTTGCTTCAAGGCTTTAAGGCTAAGCAAGGGATGAAAATTGGGTTTACAGCAACTGTATAGCAAGTTCTGAGAAAAATAAATAGCCCTCAACTATTTCTGCAGCCAGACTTTCCACAGGGTGTAGGAGTTACCTAAAATTTGATCTTTACTTAGAAAAAATGGACATTTTTAAATTCACTGAGGAACATAGTAAGTTTTTATACAATTCCCAAAGTCCTGCAAACTGACTGAGGCAGCACTCAACCCCCTCATCCAGAGCAGTGATAGAGGCTTTAAAAAGGACTGGCCCCAGTACTGAGCTGGGATTAAAAGAGAGTTCGGAACTGTGACAGCTGTTAGCAACCTCCAACCTGAGGAGGAAACAAAGAGAATGAGAAGGGGAAGCCCCTGGGTGCCTGCCAGGGCTCTCAGACACCCACAGGCTGCTCTAACCCACAGCACCTTCCCCTGGCCCCCTTCTGCTCCCCCTCCCCAGGTACCTGCCCACCAGCCTCACCATACACCCAATGGAGCAATCCCATGGCAAAGTGAGCAGCCCTGTCTCACAGGAACCATTGCTCTGATTCAGAATTCATCCCCAAGAACCAGGATCACCAAAGAACAGCCTTTTATTCCAAGAAATCTATCCTGGGCTCTTCAATTACTCAAAATCTGGTTAGTCCCATGGTACTAACCCAAAGCAGTATCTGCTGTGCTGTGGACAGCAAGACAGGGATCATGTGAAATGGAAAACTGTGAAATCACAAGTCCATCACCTACAATATGAAGTGTGGTCAAAGAACAACCAGCCTGAATTGCTTTTAAAAGTGTACTACTTTTATTCTTATGTATATACCCTTCCTATCTTTGGTTCTGAACACTTTCTAAAACTGAAATTAGCACTGCCTTAAAATTGATGATGCAAGTATGTTAATTTTGCTGATGTAAAAATAATCTTTGCTTAAAGAAAGTGCATTTTGTACTGCAGAGCCCACTATATTCCTGGTTTGTACACATGCTAAATATTGCACTAAAGCTTTTTGTAAAGGATTCCTAGTCTCATTTCTATTTCCATAAATGGGGACTGCAAAAATAGACTGAAGCTCAGGAACAGTGTCTCAGGCACGCCACAGGAAGAAACTGTCAGTACTGTAAAAGGAAGGGAAACAGGTACCATTTATTTGTGGACATTGTGAACACTTCCTGTTTCTAAAAACTTCTCAAATACAGGGTAAGGACCTCCTCAGTTCTCCAAAATTTGGAAGATTCTTGTACAAAACTGATTGAAATCAGCATAAGATGTAGCATAAGATGTCACAATGTATTCACAAGTTAAATTAAGCTCTTCCATGAAATAATAACAAAACAATAAAAGAAACAGTCAATCATTCACCTCATTCCAAACATCTGATTGTTTGAAGAGTGACTTTCACCATTTCAATACTTCTAAATTTCCATGACTGATCCATTACCATCCTTCTTTCCTTATTTCTACAGAGAAGGAATGGATCTTTCCTTTGTCTCCAGAACAGAGAGCTGGGTTGATTTTTTTTTAAAAGTATTTGGTACTCACATGGTACCCTGCCCAGGTGACAGACAGACAACCAGAACCAGGGTGGTGGAACTCAGCATTATGAAACAACACACTCTGATTGTTAACTGTGCATTAGTTAGAGAGCAGACACATTTTGGCAAACAAATGACAATCACAAGATGAGATCAGGACAAACATTTTTCCTTTTTACCTGGTCGTAGTGTATACAGGCCTTTCACAATATTTGCCATGGTTGAAGGAGTTATTTGAAACGGTGTTGACTGAGCTTCCAAAAGTAAAGCTGAAACAAAATTAACACAATCAGCAACTTGTCCAACCAAGAAAAACAAGCTCTTGAACACAGATTATTTTTTTTAATCAAAAAAATACAGTAATTGTGCTTTTTTTGGCATCTGATGTCCTCACAAACAAAACAGCCACACACCTGATTTCTACTTATTCTGAAGAGTAACAAATCACCTTTAGATAGAAGTATCCTGCTCAAATTATGTATAGTGAAAATGTGTTATAACTTCTTTTTCATTCATTAGAGGTAGCAGAGGTTCAGTAAAACCAAGCAGGTGATGGCTTCAAGTATTCACACAAGAACTAAAGCAAACTTCAAGTGTGTCAAACACCTGAAGATCCACAAATCCTTTACAGCATTTAGGATCTTGCACACAAAACTAAGAAACTAAGATGGATTGAAAGTCTATGCACTTGTAGTGCAAAAATTGTAAACTTCCAAAAAGAAAAGTTGTTCTTTTAAAGACAAGTTAATAATTGCACCTTCTTCTTGAGGAAAAACCTGCCAAAAGCACATTTACTGTTTATGTTGTGATGTAAAGGTTTTTATCCTTCTTTGTATTTACAGAATAAATACAAAGTACATACATCTGAATTACAGAAACACACACACACAAAAGAAAGAAATTAAGAAATGTGTAAACCAACTGCTATATCCTGGTTTTTATTTCTCTATCAAGCAGTTGAGCACCTTTCTGTGCCCACCACAGGAGGAGAAATGACTCTCACAATTCTACCCAAGGGAAATGTCTCTTTGGCTTACATTGGGGAAGCTCTGCTTTTTAAGCTTCAGAGCATCTCCAGTTCTGGCTTCAGCATCTGCCACTAGAATACTTTAAATAGAAAGAAAAATATTCACTACCATGTTTTTTCTTCTCTTTCTGAAACTATTTAAATGGCTCATGTCATAGGGAAATGAAAACAAAGTGCTTTTTTTAACCTTCAAGTAATCAAAGTTGTTATATTTAACTGTTATGGATGAATTTGTTTTGCAAAGAGCCATCTTAAAAGTGCTTGCTCATTTCAACAGAAGCCTTGAGGGTATGAGAGCCTGTGATTTGTTCTGTAATTACCTATTTACAGCCCCTTTCCTAAAGGTTTGTCAAATAGCCTCTTGGCAGCCAAGAAAGCTGCAAATCACAGAATTAAAACGAGCATAGTGCTTTATGTGACAGTAATGCACAATCCAAACAATGTGTGTGCATATACAAATATTTGTATCTTTAATTAGACTGTGGCCACTTCAGCCTAAGCATCACCAATAGATTTGCAAAGTATCCAAAGAAATGTGAATTTGTTCTTCATAGACATTAAATTACGCAAAATAAATTATTTAAAACAAAAAATATTGATTACTTTTTTGCAGCTTTAAAAATTAACATTTCTTATCTTGTCTTCTGCAAATGCACACCTGCTACAATGCAGATTTAAATCACTCACTCCTGATTTACAGTCAATAAATACAAGCATGACAGTACTATGCTCAACAAGATAACAAAGTAATGGCATGTATTTCCTGATTCTCAACAAAGAAAATTAAAGAATATCCTGTTCAATAAACAATGCAGTATGAACCAATCTAACTTGTCCAAAAGCTGGACATCAAACCTCAAAAAATGCATGACACTGCTGTAGGATTTGTGTTTTCAGAATGATTTCCATAAGAGCAAACAAGACTCCTCTCTGGATAGAAGCAAAAGATCTCAATGTAAATTTAAAGACAAAGTTGTAAACTAAGATGCAAAGATGTTAAAACTTCTTTGCACATGAATTCATCTTCAGTTTTGCAATGAAACAAACTTAGACATTCATTCAATCCTGTATTACTTCTGGAGAGGCTCACTCAAGGAATAGAAACAGCTCTGCCAGACATGCTGAAATTACCTCTGTTGTTATTTTACAATCTCACAAAAGACTAACAAATACTAAGGCTTTGACTCTTGCTTTATTAGAACAATTAGTCAGAGTCTACAACACAGAAATAGCACAGACTCCTTCTACCCACTCCCAGAACAGCACCTGCAGCATTTACAAAGATAGAGGGAGAGGCAAAATAAAGCTGAACCTCAGCTGAATGAGGGTGGTAATGGCACCATGATACCATCTGACCACCTCCACACTGCTCACAAATTAAGTATCTAACAGGCAAACACGTTAATTAAGCTACAAAGAGTCTGGAAAATAACTCCTGGCAGAATCAGAGAAGTGTGGATTCCCATGGTGAAAAGTATTAAATGCAGAAAGATATAAAATACTTTGAAATATTCTTGAACACAATACCCAAAGGGCCTCAAGGATTCCTGAGAAACTGAATGAACAGTACTGGAGTAAGTGAGGTGTGAATCTCCAACACTTCAGGTACTCTGCAGTAACCAAGTCACCCCAGTACTGCACAGCAGCACTGGAGGACCACGGCCCTTGATGAACATTTAAGCCACTTCCTAATTACAGTGAGGCACTTGGGGCAAAACCCAGGAGCAGTAATTCCAGGAGTAGCAGATGATATTTCAACAAGTTGAAATTCACTTATTCATAACTCAAGACTGACTTGCAGAAACTAGGGCTTAGCTGTTCTAAAAAGCTTTTTCTACCCTTCAACATTCCCTTGAAAACTGATTTATTTTAATTGCTGAAGATGTAAGTTTTCTGGCAGAACAGTGGGACTTTTGCAACAAGGGGTTTTTTCCCTCCCTCTGTAGTAATTTAACAGAATTTCTAAGTAAACTATTTTAACAAATCATTACTAAGTATGACTTAGACGTGTTCAAAGTTGTAACTACTCAACAATGCACCTTAAAAAAATTAAAAACCATATTCCCACTAAAAGCAACCCCAACAGCTTGCCCACCAAGGCATTAGTCAGCTGTGCTCTGCAGTCTCCAACAGCAGCAGAACCTGTTGCTTAACATAAACAGATGCTGAAGATCTTTGTCCTGCTGTACAAACTGTGCTTTGCAGGACTTCATTCCAATGTCTGTATTATTGTGCAGAGTGACAACTTTAATACTTCCAGGGAATTGAGCCCTCACATAAATGCACAGCATTTCTGCCTTCTTGGGAAGATCTGCAGATCCCATGGAGTCAAATCTGTAGTAGGATAAATTACCTTTCCCTCAGCCCAATTGTTCAGGGTCCATCTGACCACACAAACCTTGGCACTTTGCTGAGATAAAATCCCATTCACCTTGGAGATGGTTCCTTTATCTCAGTCCATGCAAAGCTCTGGACTGAACACCAAAGCCAACAGCAATTAAACAGGGAGGGAATTGCCACAGCTGGCAGCCAAAATGCAGCTGAAAGTTTTTGTTGTTGCTATTTTGGGTTGTGGTTTTCTCTAGGTTGGTCAGGTTTTTGTGTTTGTTTTTTATTGTTGTTATTTGGCATTTTTGGTTTGTTGGGGTTTTTTACCTGCTGCCTGTTTTATTATTAAATTGTCTGATGAAGCTTGATCATGTATTACCTTTTCACTTCTTCAGTTTCTCCATGCTAATTACTGATCTAGAACTTCAAAAGCCTTTTGAATGAAAACTGACTTTGTCTTTGGCTTAACCCTCAAACTCCTCATGATCCAGGGATTTTATCTTCCTTTAAACACAACTAAAAATAAATTTTTACCAACTTAAATTCATTGTAAGTTTGTAATGAATTAAAATGTAGATCAGAAAAAAAACCATAAAAATATTATTACTATGCATTTGCCACTAGGCATTTAATAAAGCCACAGCTTACTTTAAAAATACTCATTACATAGACCAAAAGCTTTATTAAGTATGTAGTAAAAATGCTACAAAATAAATTCCGAGTCTTAATCACATGGAAAATATTCAGTGCTGTAAAAGTAATAAAGATGAAAAACACAGCTATAAATGCAGAGATATATGCTTTTGGACTTGTATAATTGGAAAATAGAGTGGTATTTTCACATTTATAATTTTATGAGGTCTTATTGAAATTGGAATATTATTCCTATTTCTTTGCCAAGGAGCTAGATTAGCCATAGTGGTCATACCTGAGACTGTATTTTCCAACTTAATTTGAGGTGCTGCAACTGAACATGAAACAAGGAAAATAAGAAACGTAGCTGCAAGTTTTTAAAATGGCCTAGAGACCTTTCCTGAAAGGTTTAGTTCACAGAAAAAATTTGCATGTAGTTATTTAAAGAATTTGAATGTGTTCTACAGTACTTGGTAACAACCCAGACTGCTTCCAGGATTGTTACAACACAATTACTTGGTCCTTAGCTGTCAAATTACAGCTGTGACTTCAATATTAGTGATGGCCCCCTTGAACTGCTGAGCGTGTAAATATTGACTATTCCATCAGATCTACAGAGCACAGGGGGTACAAAACATTAACAGCTACAAAAGCTCTCTTAGTTAGTCCTGCAGAGTGAAAAGGTGTCTGCTGAGGTCCAAGAAAAGGGTGGCATTCATGTGACAAGAGTTTTGAAGGAATGGTTGACTTTCCTGCAACAGCAGCATCCCAGCACACTCCCCACGGCTGGAAAAGTGGAACAATACTGCAGGTGATTTTCACCATCAGTTATCTGCGTCTATCAATATTTAGAAGAAAAGAAGGAAGGAGAACACTGAAGGTTGGAATTGGAAACTTGAAGTGATTAAAATATTTGCCAACATAAAATAAGTTAGAAATTAAATACTGAAATTCACAATCCTGTAGATGCATAAATTTTCTTTAAAATTATTTTTAATGAAGAACTTTAGAATAGTTGCATCCCCTCCCTTCATCTCAAAAAAGGACTTTTTATGCTACTCTTGCCCCCCCAAATCAATTACCAATCAGAAGCTGGAACCTCAATAATTTTATAGGTGGGGAAAAGAGTAAATTAGCTTTTAGTTTCAGAGGAATTCTAAAAGAAATCACCCTCGTTTAGTCTGGCACAAACCCACTGTATTAACTGGTATTTTCTCCTAGTCTTCCACTACCTTTCTTAATTTTTAAGGTCCTGAGGAAGAAACCTCACTTCATTTTACC